TCCATGAACTTCTTTGTTTGACCCTAGATGGTTATTTCATTGAAACTTTCTTTAAACAAATTCTATAAGCACTTTTTTTGTCCAATTAACTTCTCTCAATTGGTAACTGATGTGAGGGTAGCATAAAGTTGTTTCAGAAAACTGGTATACGAATCTATATAGTTATGTCTCGACTTCACTGGGACCTTCACTCTTTAATTTACTAAGACGCTCAATTCGGATCATTTTAATTTCCACAAATTTATATTTCTATTACTCTCTGATTTCTCTTTATACAACCAGCTCCTTTGATTTCATCAAGTCTTGATGTGTCAACTCTTCTCGAAATTGACAATCCTGACGGACAAGTTGGTTCGCATGATCCGGCCACAGGGAGATCTTGCAGGTAGGCATTTGAAATCGGACATCTTTAATCAACAAATTAATACGTATATCTGACTAGGCTGTGTCTTAGGCAGTTTTCAAGCTTAATTTACATTTTTTTTCATTTTGAATTGCGGATAATGAATGGCAATTCATATTTTGTGGTTAAATTTCATCTAATGTGAGAGTGATAGGAATATCGCCTCTTTTTTGGGGCTTATAAATCTAGTACTTACACTTTCAGGTAATTAAAATCAGTCCTGCATTCATACATCAGGAGTTTATTGAAATTTTCGTTTTCTTAACTCGATTTGCAACTTCTCGAAGCTTCTTAATCTTTTGTGAATTAAAAGTAGTAAGCGAAGGTAAGAAGACCAAGATGGTGTGGCCTTTTGTTTGTTCGCAGTCTCCTTTCGTTGTATAGAAGTTGTTTGACCTTGTTTTCACAACTTGTTCACATTGCTAATAAGATTTAGAGGAACGCACCTAGTCCGGAGTTCATTGTATGCATGATCATTTCCAAAATCGGACCGTGGATGTGGTGCCTTCCCAGAAAAGAAGATACCACAAATGTTTAGTCAAAGGAAGGGCTTCATTTGTCTCTTTAACGAGCTGTACTATGGTGCTACGAATGGCGAGACTCACTGACGATGCAGACTACGATGCCAGTAAAACGTCTTGGAAAGTACCACGTCCACGGTCCGACTTTGGAAATGATCATACATACAATGGACTCCGGACTAGGTCCGTTCCTCTTAGTCTTTCTATCAATGTGACCAAGTTGCAAAAACAAGGTCAAACAACTTCTACAAGTTGTAAGCTAGGCGGGAGCATAGTGACATCTTCTAACCTTGTATTACAAGAAAAGCGTTTTAAAAGTTAACTACTTAGTTCTTAAATTCACATTTTCTGGTAGTGTTAGCATCAATATTATCATAGTCTTTGAAAACTGTTTTTTATTCATTCTGTTTCTCCACTAAACGCTCTTCTACCTGGTCTGTTTCTTTGATAAATAATTATTATCTCCACTTCTCACTTCTTATCCTCTAAATCAACAAACCTTATAGATGCACCTTAATTTCTCTTTCTTGGTTCAGCAAACTATGCTCTGCTTCAAATACCTTCATATCCTCATTTTTACTGTATTAGCAGTGTTGTATTTATCTGTGTCTCTCTTTTTAGCTTTAATTTCTACCTCAATGAAACAGCATATCTTTTGAAATTGCACTCGCCTTCCTCACACGTCCTGCAAGTTACCTACAGAATGTCTCTATAAAACATATCCCTTCGCTTCAATGGACTTCTCTCCAACTAATATTTTACTCATTTGCATCTTTCCAGCCCCATTGCTTCAATTTCAACTTTGGCGCTCAATCTATTTTATAAGCATGCATTTGTCAAATTCCATCTTCCCCTTCTAATTTGGCGTGCTATTAGCCTTAATTCATCCTTGATCTTCTATGCGCCCTTTATCCCTCAATCATATCCTTACACAAGCTCCAATAAAGTTGCATACTAATTCTATCTTTATATCTCTTTTTAAACCCTTTCTTTTATTTATCCGTCCCTCCTAGCTACCAACTGTAACCTAATGGTATGACACCGCAAAAAAACAACAAAAATTTATTTTGACATGTTTTGACTTTTTCCCCTTTTTTCTTTACTATGTTATCTACCATATTCAATGGGCGCTGGCTATCGTTTACTGTCCAATTTATGGCCTATTTGGGTCTGGCACTTTTTCCAGGTCAATTACAAACGCTAACGCTGCCACCGCTTTTACCTTGAACTTGATAACTCCCAGTTCCGATGCTGCTATTCCGGGTACTTCAACTCCCACTGTCGAGTCTGGCGTAACCTCGGGAGGAGCCAGTGTTGTTGCTCGTATCGCCAAAGAGGCCGAGGGCCTCCCGCCTGGCTGGCAGATGGCCTATACAGCGAGCGGTCGGTCTTTCTTCATCAACCACAACAACCAGACAACCACCTGGGTGAGACCTCGCATCTCGATTCAGAGGAGTTGGGCTAAAAGGATTAAAATGACTATATGTAAACATACTTCTCCTCAAATAGAATGCTTAAAGCCGAACTCAACTACATGGTCCTTTGTTGGCTTTACTGAGCACATATCTATTAAATATGGATTTAATTGAAATTAATAAGAGCTTTAGAAATTTTATAACCGATAAAATATATTTCATTTTCGCTCGCGCGGCAAAGGGTGGCTTATTTGGATATACAAGTTATTTTAAATTCCTGTTACAGTTGTGCTCTCTGTTTCGACTGGGCGAGCTGTTTTCTACCTTTGCTTTTCTCCATAATCTTATCTTAGTTATTTGGACTTTGTTCGTATGCTTGAGTGGCAAACGTTCATTGACTGACTTCCATGAATCTATATTTTTGGGGAGACTTTCATTTGGTATGAAAGTGCAAGAAGAGATTCGAAAGTCGATATCACTAGAGGTGAACGGCTAAATCCCGTTGTACTACAGACGTTTGGTTTGTATTCGACGTTCATTTTAATGCAATCCATGATACCTCTCTCATTTTGGGTGAAAACGGGCTAAGCCTAACGTAAGTCGTAGTAACCATGTTTGTAGCAAACTGGGTTAGGATAAGGTAATCAAATTATCCAGTATAACTCTAGAGAATAGTGTGTAACTTTTAGTGGAAAGAGAATTGAAGGTTGCTCTTCTAAATGAGGTAAATAATTCAGTGGACATACTTGGTGAATTAATTGGCCTATCTGATTGATCTCCCAAAGAAGTAAAGAATAATATTGAACTGGAGGTGATCCGCCATTATATGAACAAACACAAGGACTTGCGATAGTATTTTGCCTAGCTCCCATCTTGGCTAAAAATTATATTTCATATTTGAGCAGAGTTTCGGGACTGCCAGTAAATCAGTAGTTCGAGATGTATTCACTCTATTTCGTTTAAGGTGATGAAGGACTGGTAGTATAATTTTCCCACAGTAGAGCTGACGTTTCCATTGAATTTCACATAGAATATTGTATGGCAAAAGGCCTGGCCTTCCTTGAAATTCACATCTGCCCTGTGACCCAAGGGCATTCGTCGCAATGTGGTCGAGGGCTTAACGTGTCAAGCTCTTATTCTTCACTGTCACGGTTTAACTTCAGCTGGGGGTGTTGATAAGACAGATGCGAGGTCGAAACTGAGTCCGCCCTAGATGAGAACAACTTTTGGGAAAGCAAGGCTATGTGAATTTTAATGGAAACATCAGCTATGGTTATGCCATTGTGGGAAAATTCTATCACCAGTCCTTCATCACCTTAAATGAAATAGGAGGAATATATCTCATATTAAAAAGTATATGGCAAGATTTGACTAAATAATTGAAACGGCTGACAAATGTATTCCTGGACGATAATTACCCTTCGGGCCTAATTGAGAATGCTGTCTCATTAATAAGGAATAAATATTCAAACGGATACTATTTTATCAAACCTAGACAGTCTGAGACCTTTTCGCATGTTCTCATTCTGCCTTCATGTCTTATTTCAAAAAATATTGGCGAATTAGAGAGAAAGAGAGAGATAATGACAGTGTTTAAATAAATCATCGTACTTTCTTCCGTTATACCATCTTTTAGAAAGAAATATGACCCATTGTCGAAATCTGGCTGCCATAGGATTGTTTGCTCCTGTGGTCGACTTTTGTTGCAGGCGTATTTGACAAAGATTGGATGAATACAAACATTATTGTAAATAAAACTAGTTCAAGCGATCGAAAGTTGCCTAACACATGGCAGAGACTGAACATGTGACAGAATTATCTCAACCAAGTAGGTTTGCTGATTATGGTATGTCTACATTTAAAAGGAATATATAGAGGCTATTGAAATTAATAGATTAGGGAATGCATTGAATGTCAAGAACGGGGGTAGAAAGTTGAGTAAGAACTATTTATCGAAGGAATGAAGACCAAGATGGTGTGGCCTTTTGCGTGGTCGCAGTCTCCTTTGTTGTATAGAGGTTGTTTGATCTTGTTTTCACAACATGGTCATATTGGTAGGAAGACTTAGAGGAACGCACCTAGTTCGGAGTCTATTCTCTGCATGATCATTTCCAAAGTTAAACCGTGGGCGTGGACGATGCCGACGTAACGTTTGGGAATGTACTACGTCCACGGTATGACTTTGGAAATTATCATGCCGACAATGGACTCCGGACTAGGTGCGTTCCTCTCAGTCTTCCTACTAATATGAACATGCTGCGAAAACGAGGTCAAACAAGAACTAATTATGCTTAATTGATGGATTCAAAGGGATAGAATATGTTGAGTCGCCATTTAAAAGAAGACAATTCAACTTGTCTGCTGAGTGATGATTCTAACTTAACTCGAGCTCATCCAGCATGTTAGATTAAGAATTGCTTTGATCTTGTTTTCGAAACTTTGTCATAATGGCAGGAAGACGTTGAAGAACGCACCTAGTCCGGAGTCCATTGTATGCTTGATAATTTCAAGAGTCAGACAGTGGATGTGTCACATTCTCAGACGTTTTATCGTCATCTTCAATGAGTCTTGCTATTCTTAGCACCACACTACAACTCGTTGCTGATCATTTTACCAATTGTCTCCTAAACGATCGTGGTATCACTCTTTCCCCCTTTGGCAAATCACTAATCCTATACCCTAGTATGACACTCACTTTTACAATTTTTACTTACTTATTTTAATGTTATATGGTGTGCCATTTTGAGCGGCTTTTATGACAACTTTCCACACTCCATGCTGGCTGGGAATCTTGATCAGAGTCTGCCCTATTGTTATTAAGTCTTCTTTCCATAGTTCTTATCAAAGTCTCCCTCCTGCCCCGTAGGATCGGTCTTCTATATCCCTTCTTCAAGTATTTCACTCGACCAATGTTATCCTATATCTGCTCCACGAGTCCTTATTTTCCACATCGTCAAGCCTTTGCTTCATGGGGCACGTTTATGGTTGGTGTGGGGGGTTGCTAAACATAAGAGATTATCCCAACACAAAACAGCCTGCAGGAGTATGTGGGTCCAAAAATCGGATTTGGCCGAACACATGGCTCTCACAGGACACCAGATACATTGGTCTAATGCCAAACGCTTAGCTGGATATGGAGACTATACCAACCAATAAGCAAAATATTATGGAGGCGATATAATTCAACAAAACATTCAACACTAATTAGAAGGAATGAGTGTAGGAAGTTAGGCTGAAACTACTTGTGGCTGTTGGATAGGTTTAGAGATTCATAGGTAGACTAAATTGGAATATAAGAACGAAGTATGTTTGTAGCCGGAAACCTTTCTTGCCTTGGTGTTTTTGGTGAATTATCGCTAACCATGATGTCTCGCTCTGACGATGTCCGTCACATGACTGACGAAAGCTCAGCGAAGATTCATCGAGGTCGCGGGGCGATGCGCCGAGGATCTATTCGCACAAATCTACAACCACAGCTTCAAGGCAACCCCCCACAGCCCCCGATGGAACCAACTTACGAATTCATTCCACTCGCCTCTTTAAACGAAATGTAAGGTACTCCAACATGAACATATTGGTTTGCCTCATCGATAATCCCAATTTTGATATGATAGGCCGGGCCCTAATTGAAATTAACATTTGCTTGCGTGGTACTCTGGTGTAATGGTAGCATATTGAGATTA